GTATATATGTATATATATACATATGTATATATATATATGTATGTATATATATATATATATATATATATATATATATATATATATATAACTTTGCCTTCGCGTGCTCACGACGTTTATGGGCAGTCAAAGTGGCTCCGCGCCCTGCTCACAGAGACACTGGCGCCAATGCAGTTAGGTGCACAGAACGATGGTGGTACGGCATGTGTGTTTCCAGACGTCAGGTGTTGTTTACAGCACACCGTACGGCCTTTGAGGGGGGGAGTCTGAGGGGGCGCAGCCCCCCCCAGCGACTATACAAATAGGAATTGTAACCGCAAGAAACACCCATTTTATTACTCTAGGGTACTAGGCCCAAAACGAAGAAAAACACTGCCGGGGGGGGACCGCAAACATAAGTAAGGGTCCTTGGCTTTCACTTATGAAGTGGGGGGCTTCTGGCCCAAACCAAAGCCGTCGGCACAACTAGATTCGGAGCACCGTAGGTTGCGTAGATTGCGACTGGAAGGTCCACATGACAGTAACTACCTGGCGAGGAAGGAGGGTGTCCATTGGGGTCCCTTTGTGTTTCTTAAAAGGGGATGACGACGACGGGGGGCGCGCTTTGCGTAAAGCTGTAGCTTGACTTATACCCTCGCGTTCCTTCACAACGGAATTATAGTACCAGGCTTTTGGCCTCCGCATGCATCCGCATAGCATGTAGGAGTCACTCTACTTTCGGTGAAAACGAGAACCGAGTGAGGGAGTGAGGGAGTGAGGGAGTGAGGGAGTGAGGGAATGAGGGAGTGAGGGAGTGAGTGGATGATCACGAAACCCCCTCACCAGCACACCACCTGCCGCCACGGCCTCCAGCACCCGCCGGTACTCGTCCAACGTCTGCACGCCAGGCTTCGCCATGAGTACGTGCAACCTCCTCTCTGCAGCCGTTATTGCTATCTGCGCGTGCATGTGGTCGAGAGTGTATATGATGACGGCGTCACCCGAGGATGTGGAATTTAGGGCCTGGGGGGGAACAGGAGGAAGGGATGGGGGAGGGAGGGTTGGAGAAACACGGAGGGCTAACGGAAAGAGGGAGGCCGCGGGTGAGAACACCCCACCCTACGGCCCCCCAAGCCCAGGTCCTCCAAGCCGCCCTCCTCCAGCCTTCCACAGACTTCTTCACCCCTCCCCTCTCCGGGCCCTTTCCCCGTACCCGACCCTCTCTCTCTCTCAGGTACGCGGTGGGTTCCGCCTCCACGCGAACCCCCAGAGACATATCCCGGAGAGGTGTCCGAACCCGGAGTGTGTTCACACCGGCAATCTTGCGTAGTATGTTTCGCGCACTTCCGGCACACGGGTGCCGGACATGTCACACAGCACGATGCGCTTCACCGGTGTAGCGAAGAATATAAAACAGGCAGGCGTAGGAGGAAGTTGGGAAATAACACTTCGAGTGCTGCTGGTTTCGGGGCTCAATACAGTCCCATAGGTCCGTCTGAACATGCCCGGATGTGCCAAGCATTCGTGCCTTCGCTTATCTGTTGATGTTGTTACAGGGTGTGGTTAAGCTTCACCAGTGGCCTCCTTCCAGAGGCAGTTCCCTGCTCTCCCCTGCTAGAGGGGCACCCTAATCCACTCACCCCATCCGACTTCAGAGTGTACACTTTTGAGTTTGGCAACTCACCACCGGCATCCAACCAAATCTAGCGGATCAACGGCGCGTCAACTTAGTTCCTGGTCAGCTCGCAAGTTGATTTTGTCTCGTCCTACACCGTCCACAAGATAGGGGGCCACCTCCCATTTCATCTCCCCTCACACACCCAAGATCGTCAGGCGGATTTGAACCCGGACGCGCCGGGAGCAGAAGCCAGGCCTTAACCTCTGCCAGCCGCCTGCCCGCTTATCTGTGTGTATGCAGGCACTAGGCACGCTACGGCACGGCACGGCAGGCACTATGCACGGCACAACACAAGACGCATATAAATGGACAGCAGACGTTTTCCGCTAAGAGGATTGAAAATCTGGATCCACACCATCCAATGCACCAGTCCGGAGAATGCGGGGGGAACGACGTGCGGCAGTGTACGGCACCTACCAGGCCCTGCCGCCGCAGCTCGAAGCATGTGAGCGCGACGACTCCGGCCGGTTTATCGCTGGCGGATCCGTGGGCGTGGGTGCGTAGCTGGGATTGCACCAATGATGCGGTGGGTGGATGGGTGAACGGAGTTTCCGGAAGGAAGGAGATTGGGCGTCCGAGCTGCAAGTTCATGACCCTTGCCAGGGTCAAACTGAGTGTCTCTAGAGACGGCAGAGGACCGAGAGAGAGCGGATTTGATTTGATGAATTGGTGGAATGAATCAGGAGCTTTATGCGGTACAGTATGCATGTCTGCATGCCCAACACCAGCGGGGGTGTTTACTGGATGCACTGCGAGACGCGGCCGTGCAGGATGCTTTTGTAACGGAATTGTCCTTCTCAACAGTCTTTTGAAGCACCCGGCATGATACTCGCCAGCTCCAACCATGCAGGTGCCATCCCCGCAGGTTGGGCCAAATACGTTTTTTTAAGACAGCACGTAGAAGGTTGCTAATCATATGGTTTTGAACCTTGCCTCGTTAGCGGTTAAGGAGGTGGAAACTGCTGGCAACGCCGATGGTCGAGCCATGAGTGACAGGAGCGGTGCGTTCAGGCCGTCCCTGTGCAATATGAAAGTTATGTGCGTCACATGAGTATTCCTTACTACAACAAATTACACAGATTACACAGGTTACAGAATCCTAGTACCTTCGCTTACAACGGTGGCAACGGTAAAACAATCTGACTCAAGCGCGACGCTGTGCCTCCAATATAGTATATGCTTGACAGAGGGTCCTCAACCCTTGTCACGATCTGCGCTATGAAAGGCACTTGGAACCTCCGGTCGAACACTGCAACCCGTCTGGTGGTTCCTCGGTTGCATCCTTCCCAAGCACACATCAAGTTCTCGCCAGTAAGATTTCCACGTCTCTCCGTATCGGCTCTACCGAAAGAAGATGAGACTCCTACCAAGGTTCCGAGCGAGCCAACCACAGTTGTTCCGTCTGTCCGTCGTCGTTTGGCCTTGATGGGTAAGATGTTTTCCTCAAGGTATTTCATCCTATTCTTCTGGCTGTATATATAGGACTAGATTATGGGGATTGACGCAGGAACGCGGGAGGCGCGTGTCCAGAGCGTGCACCGCGACCGCACCGCACAGCCCACGATGAGTGGAGCAACATCCTATGCCTTCCACGCCCGCCTTAACGAATCTTCTCTATAAATTGCCGCTGATACAGAAAACGAATTTACCAAGATGTATGTTTCCTGGATTAGGTTTGGTTAGGAGGCAGTATACGGTTCACGACTCGTGTGTGGCGTAAGCCATGTTTCCGTAAAAATTTAAGACACCTTACGAAGTCATTCACCAGGGCGGGAAGGCAGAGCCTCTCGCATGTTGGAGTCTACTCGTTCACTTAACCGCACAAGGAGCCGTTAAACGGTTACCCCGATGCTGCTCTCCTTGGCATTCCATGCTTTGCTGGCTGCTCCCTATCCGGCAGCTTCTTTCAACTGATTGATATGGCTTATCGAACCCCAGCCTCGTAGAAGTGCCGTCATCACCACCATTGCCACAGCGATGGTGATGGCGGTAATGGTGGCGCCCGCCTTCCCTTTCCATGTGCTCCCCAGGTGCCGCCGCGCCCTGCCTGTGCGCCTTCTGCTGTGGCGGCATCGGCGCGGCCAAGGCCGTTGGCCGTAACCCATTGTACGACAGGTACTTCGCTACTGTCATGCGGTATGGCATGGACGATTACGAGGCGGCGATAAGGCCATTAAAAACGGCCCTCTTTGATGAGCTAATCGTGAGTCTGCTCCAGGCGCAAGGCCGGGCAGCTGCCAGAGGCGACGGCAGCCCCAGGTCTAGCCCCGCTGACGGCTCCATGCGGGTGCTGGAACTGGGTATTGGGACCGGCCCCAACTTTCCCTTCTACGCGGCTGCACTGGCCTCGGCAGCCGAAGGGCAACCCACCACCACCACCACAGAGGCGGACCCCACACTGGCCGGATGTACGGCAACAGTTGACACGGTGACGAGGTCGGACACAAAGGCGGGTAAAGTGACAGCAGCAGCTGCGTGCAGATCACTGCCAATACCACGGCGACTTCACATCGTGGGACTGGACCCGAATCCGGAGATGCTCCATTACGCGGCGGAGTCGGCGACGGGGGCGGGCATGAACGTCATCAAGTCCGGCGACGGGGGTGAAGACAGCAGCAGCAACAACAACAGTGGACGCGGACGTGGTGCTGACAGAAACGGCACCGCGGCTGTCGGTGCCGGTGGCGATGTTGGGCCCCTGGAGGTGGATGTGTCGCTGGTTCAGGGCAGTGCGGAGACACTGCCGTTCGGAGAGGACGAGTTCGATGCGGCTGTGGTTACTCTGGTGCGTTACTCGCGCCGGGGACAGAGGGTGCTGGTATCAAGTCGTACGGAGGGACTTAGGGCGGACTTTTGGAGGAGGGATGACGTGGATCGAGAAGTTAGATACAAGGGCTTTACATGGAAAAAAAGGATGTTTGTTTCCTGCGACCAATACAGCATTTCACTTCCAATGCCACATAGCTGTAGGGTCGCGGACCCTTGCCTGGCTAATGGCAACGGTTGCATTTGCATGTCACGGTCAGTCTGCCGTATCGCCATGACTGCTTTCCTGTAACCCTGTACCTGGTAGACACCTCCAGCTAGCCATCACTCATCCTTACAACCTCTCACCAGGTCATGTGCTCGGTGCCATCACCCGCGAAAGCTCTGGTGGAGCTGCGCCGCGTGGTGCGACCCACGGGTCGGTTGCTGCTGATTGAGCATGTGGCTGCCGGGAGGGGCCGGCCGGGGCTGCGATTGGCGCAGTCGTTGCTGACGCCTCTGCAGCAGTTACTGGCGGACGGTTGCCATCTCAACCGTGACACGGCGGAAGCCGTGCGCGGAGCGGGGTGGGGTGGGAAGCTGCGAACTTTCGAGCTGCAGGGCTTCTCACTCCTTGCGCCGCACATCGCCGGGCTACTGGAAGCGTAATCGTGACGATCCGCTGCCTGTAAAGCCAGGATAAGGTGGAAATATGGCTGTGAGCATTTCGTCAAGTTGTCGCAGACATATTGATCAGCGGGAGGATGGTTTTGATTTGCGGGATATCATTTGGCAGGAAGCATGAAGGCATTGCGTTGTTGTGTTCCCATCACAAGTCGGATGCTTAAGCGTACATTTATTAAATATTGAACCTTAAGGCAGCTGAATCATTCGATGGAATTACTGTGAAGGTCGCCTCTTGTACAGTGTCAACTACTTAAGAAAGATTATTAATGATCAGTTCGTTTGTCTTTGCCTGCCATGGGATTAATTATAATCCCAGAATGCCATCTTGAAATTTTCATATGCCTTACACGGCATGCGTCCGATACATGATACATGAAATGACACGAAAGTACCCACACTACGTGGCGACGAAGCATGCTGCAGAAAGCTTCATTTCATTCGGTTATGAAAAGAAACCCGCTTCAATAGATCATGCACCATACTTAGCACCACGTCGGCTAAATTAACCACCTCAGCAAACTTACACCTTGCTTCACCATGGAAACTGATGTTACCAAATCCACATCGCCATGATTGCATCACCACCTCATTTCGGTCGAAACCTCAGCTTCAAACACGTCTGTCGGCGAGCCGATCTTGAAGCCTTGCAAGCCCTCCTTCCACTGCTTACTCCATACAGTCGCTCAGAGACCCTCGGTCATCAACCTTCTCGCTCTCAACCTAAACAGAGCGGCAAACAAACTCGCCGAACACCAAACACCGATAACATACCGTAATATCACTCTTCGCAGTCCCTCCCTCCCACCTCCATACCCCTGGCTGACTACATCAGAAACAAGATTCCGGGATTCGGACCGACCGAAATACCTCTACCTCTACCGCCAAGCTCACCCGTACACACATATATCCGTACATCTCTGGTGGACAAACAAAGCACGTGCAACCCCTGCCCTCGCCACACAAACCACACCCGACGCTCTCCCCCCCTCTCTTACACGCGCGTGGGGGTGTCCGCCCGGCGAGCACTTGCACTCGGCGAATCAACTCCACCCTCCCCAGCAGAGACACACACCGTCAGACCCACTCGCTGCCCTGCCTAGCGCCTAAGTCCGTTTATGCTTCGCTGGCTTAGATGCATGTATAACCCATAAACGCCAAGACACCACCCTTCACATACGCGCGATTTTCGTACCCAGGCATCGCGATTCGCAAGCGACTCATCTTTTATGAAGATCACATTGCAAATCGGTCTTGAAGCTCTGGATTCGGCTCAACACAATCCGGCCTCCGGAAAAGCTGCCTCCTCACCCAACTTGCACAAAATAACACGAAGAAGGCCAGCAAGTGTAGACGGGTGCTTAACACCAAGTAAGCGCGACAGCACAGCTGCAGCAGCAGCGACAAAGGCTCAGCGTGTGTGCGGCTAGTCGCGAACCTGTTCTTCCTGACATTAAGACATTCCAGCATGTACCAAACACCATCGTTTAGGTTAAGACGAGCACAAAGGAAAAAACATCACAAGCGTCAATCAAACGAGTGCCAAACGTAGCCAACCCGAGGGCCCATTATGATGATAGGCAGCCAGCACCACCAGCGCGTGAAAGCTTTCAAGGAGATGCAGGCAGCAAACAGGGCACGCGAAGCATCACAACAAAACAGTTCAAGACCCACCGCGGCAAGGGCACTAAGACTGCTAAAAGAACAAGCACCGACGTTGCGCCGAGCGCCAATCCTCCCCGGCCTGCCTACTTACCACTTACCCAGTTCCAGCCCCGGGACAAAGATCATCATAGCAATAGTCCGCACAAAGGTCTCCTCTCCCAATAATTATCGCACTCACACGTTCACATACGCTCACACGCGAACCAGCACCTGCGACATCGCATCTCATCCTCAAGGACGGGGTGACCGTTCACCCAGCGGCACCTGGCCAACGCTTCTTTGTAAGGCCTACAATAACAGATGGTCCTTCACCGCAAAGTCAAACGGATAACTCAGCACAAGCATAGCTCAGCAACAGCTGCAGCACCGCAGGGCCAGAACTGGAGGGATAGCATGAGGCCTCTACGTGTTACTGCTCCCCAACACCGCCCTAGAGAGAACTTCTTTGCTTCCTATCCTCCTCCTCTGCCTTCACTTCCCACCCCTTACTGCTTGCCCGCCATGGCCGTCACGTCCACTTGGGAGAGCTGGAACATGCGCTCCAGGGCCTCCATGTTCGAGAGGGTTTGACCCACAGCCTCCGGATCCGTGCCGTCACAACGCAGCGCCGTCATAGGCCCGTGCAGCAGCTTGTTGACAATGCCCTTGCTGAGCTCCTCAACCGCCTTGAGCTGCTTCTTGCTCAGACCGTCTCCAAGCCGGCTGACCGCCTTTTCAAACTCCGCTGCCCGAATCGCCTCTGCCTTACTGCGCAGCGCCTTGATGGTGGGCACCGTCTCCAGGGAATCGCGCCAGGCCTCAAAGGCGCGCTGCTCCTCCCGGATCAGAACCTCCGCCTCCGCAGCCGCCTGCGCGCGACCCTCCTTGTTAGCCGCGACCACCTCCTTCAGGTCGTCCACATTGTACACAATCGCGTGCTCCAGCTCATTGATTTGGGGGGCGATATTACGTGGGACGGAAATATCGACGAAGCGGCGCTTGGAGCCAACAATTTCGCTGGGGGGGGCCATCTTGGCAACATCGTCCTTAACGATAAGGAGCTCCTCGCTTCCTGACGCTGCAAAAATGACATCGGACGCCTCCACACAAGCCATGAGATCGTTCATGAGGTGGATGTTGAACTTAACCTCGGGGAACTCCTCCTCGAGCGCCTGGGCGCGTGGCAAGCTGCGGTTCAGGACCGTGACCTCCTTGCAGCCTTTCGACTGCAAATGCTTCACTAGCAGCGTAGACATCTTGCCAGCGCCGATGATGCAGACCTTGGCGTCAGCCCAGTTGTGGGTCGGGAGCTTGAGCTGCGCCAGCTCAACGGCGGCACTGCTGACCGAGACGCTGCCCGTGCTGATAGAGGTTTCAGCGCGCACACGCTTGCCCGCGGTGATCGCCTGCTTAAAGAGACCATTTAGGTGGCGCCCAAAGCCAGGGCAGTTTTGCCCAACCTTGTAGACTTGGCGGACCTGCGCTAGAATCTGACCCTCGCCCATAACCAATGAATCCAGGCCGCCGGATACTCGCATCAGGTGATGCGTGGCATCGCGGTCCCGCAGCAGGAACAGATAGGGACGGAGCTCCTCCAACGGGACTCCGCTAGTCCGCGATAGCCACTCCTCCACCTCGCGAACGCCCCGGTGCCATGACAGACCAACCACGTAAAGTTCCATGCGGTTGCAGGTCGACAGGACGGCTGCTTCCTCGATGTGCGGGAACTGGCACAGCTCCTCAATTGCGCGTGGCCATTCTGCCTCCGGAACAGCGAGCTTCTCGCGAAGCTCAACCGGCGCATTGTGGATGGTCAGTCCGATAGCGATAATGCTACTCTTCTTGTCACCTGCATAGCCTACGAGAAAAGGAAGAATGTTATACTTTCTGCTAAGATCAGAGATGCCATCCAAACAACAAACACTCACGATTGACGGCCTGCTGTTTCAGCTGCTCCAGTGCTTTCTTGCTACTCTCTAGGTGCGAAGCTGGTAGCTTGGTCGTAGAGTTGGTAACAGCACTCGCGACGGCCGCGGCCTGAAGACCACGCTGAGACAAGCCCCTATGGGCAGGAGCGACCACAGGCACGAGACCGCCAGTGCGGCCCGTTGCACTGAGGCCCTGGCAACGCTGCAGAGTCTGCATTGCTCCTAATTTTAAGTTGAGCTGACTGTAGGTGCGAGCGCGACCGAACAGTGGTGCTTGCAGGGCGCAAGGACCGCAGAATCCCCACATCAAAGCTGTCGTACCAGCGATCTCTCTGTACTGTTTTGCTAACGCCACGTCATTCGATTTGCCTGAGGGAATAATGAGCTGTACCATAACTATCAATAAGAAGAATATCTCTAGAAGGCAGGGTGTGGGGTGCTTCTTGCAGGCAAGCTGATTCCAGGGCTAATTTTGCAACACCCTACCACATCATAGATCTCATAAATACATCAAACCGTGGAATAATACTTAGGCGGACAGGAGCTTTGGATTTGGAAGTCTGCAAAATGCGCGGTCTGCTATCCTTGCATCATGTAGTGTGTGTACACAAGCGATATGTGGTTTCTCCCTGGCGAAGGGCACTAATATGCAACATAAGTGTACCTCACACATTGTTATATGCCATAGGATCGCCATAGACACGCCGCATATGCACTTCGAAGTACATGCCTTGCGTGGACGGGAAGCCTTCGTTCGCAGTGTCCTTGTGGGCTTCGAAAGTTAATGCATCACTGTAGCTACATATTTCCAGCAACGCCCAAAGGTTGCTCCTATTCCGTCCACTATTTCTCCAGAGCTTGACAGCAGGGCGGCATCCCTTATCTTTACCCCACGGCCTGAAAGCATAATGTGCTATCACGGCTCAGCCTGTTCAAGTGGCTGGGTTGCCCTGATACCCAACAAGGACAGCGGATCCTATGTCATGACAGGCACCTGCCATCCCCCGCCCAGATGACAGGGGGTATAACGGAGCTGACGTTCTCATTATGCGCCTGGATCCTCCATCCGGTCTAGCCCGTCCTGCATCACATCCTCTCTATACACACCGCTTAATCTCACGCATGCTCGCCTGCCCCATCCACGTATGTACACCACCGCTTTCCTGCTTCGCCCAAGCTCATTCCCTCCTTGTAAATGAGCTCGATTACGTTGTGCCACGATGTCTGCCAGCTTTCCTTTTACCAACCAATCCGAGCGCATTCAGCACCGCCTTCCCTGGTGCGTACACAGTGGTAAGGATGCGACCGGTGGCTGTGTGTATGGCCTCCTGGTTGCCGTACCGCCAAGCCCGCCGCCATGCCTGCCTCCCCCGGTTCTTTCGGGCCGGCCAGCCTCGCTTCAAGCGGTCTGGGCCACGTCCCTCAAGCCCTGGCATCCCAAAACGCTGGCTACGATTTTCAGCAGCTAGCCGGTTCATGCTCTCCGTAACGGTCCGGCGTGAAACAGCCATCGCAACCGCACCACCGCCACACCCCTCCCAAGACCATTAACCTCCGTCGCAAGCTACAAGTCAATTGCCATGCCTTATAAGTGGCGTCCTGTTCACTATGGTTTCACAGAGGAGCGTTAAATCGTAACAATGCGCAAGGTCACAAAGCTAAAGCGCACGTAACATGATGAGTCGGGCACACGCACACTTAACACGCGCCCACATCTGTGAGACAGATGTCTTCGGCCGATCTAGTAGTGCAAATATTGCACTACACACCGCGAGACTGCAGATGCGGGAAGGTGTGGCCCGCATCCCACCGGCATTCACTGCATGTCTTCATCCCCGCTCTGGCCCCCGGTCCCCCGGCCTAAGCATCTGGGAAGGCTCAGCCAGAATATACACGAGAAATGGAGATGCACACGCCTGGGTTTCGTCCGCCTGCATTACCCCGCGGAACACCTCAGCCAGCCTCCGCCACCATTACTCGAGACAACATCAACAGCAGCACCTGCGGCTGCCCATTACTCATCGTTGTCGTTGTCCTTGGTTTTGAACGCATACCTAGGTCATCCCCAATCCTAAGCCTCACGTTTCTCAATCCCGCAGCTTGAGGAACATCTTTTTGAGCATCCGTGCCTCCGACGCGATAGTACGGCTCTGGTGCTTGCCTTCACTGAACACCACCCGGATGTCCTTGCCGTACTTCTCCGCTTCATTCAGGAAGGCCATGATCTCCGTGAAGGAGCTGTCCTTGAGCTGGATCATGTGCTTAGCCAGGTTCTCGATCAGGGACAGGAAGCAGCGCTTGGCGTAGTACCTGTAGGATTGGGGGGGTTTGGGTGGGCGAGAACGTGGAGGTACGGAATCGCCCCTGGGGCTGGTGGGCTATCAATCTCGGCGAGAGACGGAGCGACTGGGTGGGGGAACAACGGGTCCGCGGGTGATTCAACACCAGCACGGACACAGCGAGTCTTGTGACAGCTCCGACGCCGCATTTACAATAAAAAGCGGCATTGAGAGGGTATGCAGCGTGAAATGCGGAACAAAGGGCGCGAGCTCGACCTCCCGCCACCTCGCTCAAGACCCAAAACGTTGAGCGAAAGGTGCAGCATAACTTGGTCCGGGTTCTGGATCACACGGCCTGTCCCATTACGCGTGACTAATGACGTGACGTGTCCTAGACGAGGGCAGGGGGCATGCTGCTCTCATGTGCGAAAGGGACCAATCCGCGGGTCGCACGCACCAGCAGCACAAGCACCAGAAGCCTAGAGCTTCGTCCTATAGCCTGTGCGTACCAAGTGTCCGTCTCCAGCTTCTTGTCATAGGGCTCCAGCGACTTGATGATTCTCGACACACCGAACTCGTAGTTGCCCTTGGCACAGTAGAGTGTGCCGATGACCAGGTTGATGATGCACAGGTGGAAACAGGCCTTGTCGGGGTCCTGGAGGGAGCGGGGAGGGGATGCGGGGAGGGAGGGGAAAATGATGGGAGAGGACAGGATAGGGGACGCCGTGGAGGAGGATCGTCAAAGTCATGAGACAGGCCAGACAAGACACGAGCGGCAGGCGGGGAAAAGTGGTAGTCAGGAAGTGAATCCACGACTTCACGGCTACAACTGGAGGGTCTTCTGGCGGGGAGAGCCCCCAACGCCCCAGAGCAAGCCCAGCTCGTCCATCGGGATCCCAGGCCGACCCAGCCACCCACCCAGCCCGCCCTCCCGTAACCACCTGCAGTGCAGATCGCTCCTCCTCCTTCTCCACCTTGCGCATCAGCTCCTCCGCCTCCTCATTCTGCAGCAGCACCAGCCCGATATGCCGCCGGGGGATTGAGGACAAACAAAGAATGCAGAGGTCAAAGAGTGTGTGGATTGGCGGTGCACAGGTGCACTAGAAACCGGCAACCAGGAGGATGTGGGTGTGGATGCGGGTGCGGGTCGTGGGATTCAGACAGCACTGAACCTGATAACATGGTTAGTAAAGGACCCCTATGGCGGGCCGCCAATGTCGTGTTGTAATGTGTTGAATCCGGCATAACAAGACGGACAGCGTGTTGGGAGCCGGACACCCGGCAATCACATCACATCTCTACCCAAACGTGCTGCAGGCCAGCAGAGCAATAAAATAAAATTACCTACCACAAGGAACGCAGCTGAAATGGAGCTACCGCTCAACCCCCAATCGCCTCATTTCCCGGCCCGCCTTTCCTCCGGCCCCATCGCACCTGACTGGTCATGATGTACGATACACACAGATTTGCAAGTACGATGGCGGTCACTCCTAAAAGGTTATCCGCGTTCTTCTTCACCACGGGCTCGTAGTAGCGGATGGCCTCCTTGTAGTGGTTGTCCTGGAGGGAAATAGGGTTGGGGGGAGGCGGGGTGAGGAGGAGGAAAGGGACAGGGGTGGGGAGGACGGGGACGAGGACGAGCACGGGGAAAAGGGAAATCCGCGAGGAAGGGGGCCCGGACCCGGTCACTTTCAAAGGGGGGAAGGTGAGCCCGGTGGAGGCGGAGGACCGGTGGAGAGGGAATTCGAAAATGTAAACAGGGGCTCCCCCATGACCAACAAAAGCACTCACTGTCATGGTCGCAGGGCCCCTTGTTCCAAAACGCCGCCTGCAGCGTCTCCATCCACCTGCCTTCCACCCACCCAACGAGCCAGCGCAGGCACCCCCCAACCCACCTACTCCTCACCTGCATGAAGAAGGTGTGCGCCACGTTGAGCTTCCACACCTCGTGTTCGGAGCAGAACTCCGCTGACTGTCGAAATATCTTCTCCACATTGGAGTACAGCTCCATGTCCCAGTAGATGGAGGCCATGGCCATGAGGCCGGGGATGTAGGCCTCCAGGGCCTCATCGTACTCGTTAATGGCGCGTTTGATGGCGTCGTTGTCCCGAGCGATGCGCGCGTCCTGTTAGCAGACCAGCGGTTAGGGGAGGAGGGATGGGGGGGAGGAAAGCAACTCACGTGAGGAGCGGTCCGAACAAGGACACGGGTGAAAGGAGCACGTGAGCGGCAGTATGAGCAGGAAACACCGAGCCCGGGTCAGTAGGGCCATGGGGGGCGAGTATGGGGCTAGAGAGTCCGTCCGGAGCTCACAAGGGACAGAGGGAGAAGGAGGAGGAGGAAGAGAAGAGGTGGGCGGAGAGAGGGCGACGTGGATGACAACTGCGCCTGCACGATGTGGCCATATTCGCGCCGATGCCGCAACTCGGCCACATTGCTGTCAGCCATACAGCCATCGCCCCGCCTGCCTACATACGTCCACCCCCAACCACTCCCCACCTGTATTTGCTTGGTGAGCCTCCTCAGCTGCTCCACATGGCGGGTGGCCAGCTCGTCAAAGCGCCGGAAGGCCTCCTCTGGCGACTTGTACCGGCCAATAGCGGCTTGGAGGTAGTCGTACAGATCCTGATCGGTAAAGGAAACGCAACGGGCGGGAGGTTATACATACACGCACACGGGGATGCCATTGCGACGAAGACGACAACACGTGCAGAGTGGTAGGATGGGAGCATGGGGACGCATTCTCTGGCCCACTGTCCGGAACCCCCCCCCCCCCC